CCGCGGCTCGAAACCCTTAACAAATCTTCAAGAAAATACAAATGCTTGCGGCAAGGCGCCATTCGGCATCGCGAGGGCAAGATCAGGTTCTCTGGGTAAGATGAACTAATCAAGTCCCCAATGGTCTAGGCTGGGCTCAAGGGGTTGGGCTGAGGGGTTGGGGACAGTCACAAGCTTTGGCTCTTGTGTGCTAGAATCATGGCAAGGACACATGCCAGCAATGTTCCAGAGCTTCAATTAAAACAAGCCTGTGGCGAGTTGAGCTTGGTTTGGCTGTTTTGCACCTTCCGTGACGTGTTGGTTGGTACGGTCTCAAGCAGCTCTGGCCGTTGCAATGCTGAAATCCTGGGGTCATTGCCTTCGTGGTTGCTTTCATGCCATGCGAGCCGAACGACTGCGGCGTTCGGTCATATCTTGACCCCGTCTCTCGCCGCTAGCTCGCTAGGAGGCAGCTAACCTACTCGTTACCCGTTTCACACATGTACAGCTGCACAGGGCTTGCAAGCATGTTCACCACCCCCTATCAAAAAACTCTGCAATGGTCTCGAAGCCAAAGCAACAGAACTCAGGCCATGACGCCTGATTAAAGCCCTCTTCGTCCTGCAAGCACTCGCTTCAGGATGATTCCTCTACTCTTCCAGACTTGGCAGACTTGGCACTCCAGCACTATCAGTCAAGTTGAGCCTAGTCAAACCACTTACCTGTGGAAAGTTCTGAGCTGGCAAGCTGGCTGCTTTCAGGGTGGCATAGCTCTGCCTGGCTTTCTTCGAAGCTACGTACAATCGTCATCCCACATAATGCTTACACAGGCGTGGGACTTTTCCGGCATGGCGACCCTGCAGAGTCTTTGCATTACCTGGCACTTTGCCATTGCAAAAGCGGACGGCTCCGATTGGGTCCTGCACAGCTTTGACGCCAGCCTTGAGTTTGTGTCGTAGTTTCGCAGACAAAGGGGCCGCGAAGCAGGTGTGGACATGCTGGACAAAAAACATCAACTGCATCCCCGAATGTGCATCCAAAATCCCTCCAGCATGAAAACTACGCACACATTCCATGGAAAGAAAAGGTTTTGATACCTGCGCCTATCACATCTCTGCTCATCTGCACTGAGATCAACAGCTAAGCACCAGGCCATGCTTTTCAGGTCCAGCCTCAGGAAAAGGCTTTCTGAAAAGGATTTATGCAACTCGCTTGAGAGAAGGAAAGCAACGGGGCCAACCAGGCACGTTGAATTGAGTTACTTTGCACCTCCCACACACATGTGTCACGTACCATGCCAATACACCCAGTTCCAATTGGGCAACTGATGGCAGCTGTTGGCCACATGTTGCATGTGAGGACCCCGCCACTAGATCAAATTCCAGAAGCACATGCGAAGAAAGGCGATGAACAAATTGTGCCTTGTGTCGTGACAACCAAGCATCGGTTTCAAAACCCTACCCTACACCCAGACGACTACAGCTGAACTCAGGCTTGGGCGCTCCGCGCCTCTCCAGGGCAGCCTCCCCCAAAAGGGGGGAGCCGTGTTCCACGATGCTTCGTGGAGCCAGCGGAAAAAAGCTGAGGGAGGAAGAAAGAAAACTGAGTACTTGATTAGACTTTAATGGCCACTTGCCAGACCTCCGCGTTGTTGGCATTCGTTGGGCAACACACGCAAGACATGAGCAAAAGCAAGGGTTCCGGCAATGTGGGCATACCCCCTTCACAAGCACCACGCTTTGTCGATATGACCGCTTCACGTCACAGCATAAACATAATGCATGATGCCCTGGGCCTAGCCCTGACGCTGCAGTCACGTCAACCCTGAACGCAGGATGGCTTGGCAGGGTTTAGCCCAAATATGCTGTGCCGCGGTTGTGAGGAATTTTAGACGGGGCTTTGGTCGCGGCCGAATAGGCTACTCTCGACTGAGGGGCTGGGGCAAACCCTATGAACCTCAATACTAGGAATTCTAAGCGTTACGGTCGCTGCACGGCACTCTCCAGTTGCTGTCCAGCTGCTTATATGGGACCAAACCTCAGAATTCTATGTACCAAGAGATACCGGGAGTACTACGAGAACAGTCCATGAATCTATGCCAGCAACTTTAAACTCACAACCATGCCAAAGACTAGCGTGAGTAAAACAATGAAGGAGGAACTTGTCCGACTGACAGACTGACATGCAGTACTGTAGTCGTCTAGAAGCTCCGCGGGTTGGCGGAAGCAGCGACATGGGCAGGGTAGTCCGCGGGAAACGAAGCAAGCATTGCCGACGCTTTGGCGACAATTGCAAGTTGCCCAAAACTGGGAAGCCTGGTTTCGGCACCCGATTTGGTACATCCTCATGTTGGGACTCGCTACTTTGCACATCTGCGGGTTTCTGAAACTGGTAATGCCTTCAGGACTCAGGCGGGGACATCGAGAGTCTGAGGGGATGTTAGAATATTCCCTCTTAGGAAGGTATAGCGATGATTTTGAGAAACCCTCATCTGGGGCAGCTCAACTGCCTTCTCCCCTGCACAGGGATCGAAAATCACCGGTCATGGCAGGCCCACTGCTACACCACAGGGGTCACCTGCACGGTTCAAGTGCTTGGGAATTCTGGTAGTTTAGTATCTGGAGGTCATGATAGTATCAAGACTAGGAAACGAGGGTTCGGGGAAATTGTCCTCATCACTCGCTCCCTAATGAGGAACCTCACATCTGTTTTCGGTCTTGGGTCTGAAAGCGATTTAAGTCCAAATCCCAAGACCCTTCCACCTCCAGCCCCAAACCAGAAGCTCAAAACCCTGATAGGGGATTTGCCCAAATTAGCGATACCTGTTCTACACCGCGCTATCTCTGAGGTCCGAGCAAATGAGCGCTAGCGATACTTGTTGGGGGGTCCCCATTATTAGGGTTATAATTATAACATCTTGGGGTCTGCATGGCGGCCCCTGCAAGATTTACGCCGCTTACTTTGAGTGCCCCTGGAGTTGGTTAGTACATTGGAAAAGTAAGCCTGTTATACCCCTACTGTAGTCCGCTAGAAGTACGCCACCTAACCCAGTAGTAACTACAGCGTCCCACAAAGTATGACTCTAAGTATACGCCACCTCATTGATTCGTCTTATTTGATAATTTGTAAACAATAACTCGAAAATCTAAGCCCTTTTTGCAACCCGGACTTGAGCGGCTGCCGGAATGTAGCTGCACTTACCCTGAAGACTTGTGCTTCAGAGCTCCCCCCTAAACCCTAAACCCTAACCCATAAAACCTAAAACCTTACTGTATTAGACCCTAAAATCCTAATTAAGTCCAAAACCCTGAAGCCTAAACCCTAAACCTCGGATTTGTACAGCTAGCCTCGGATCGTCTGCTGTTGGGGGCCTGGCGTCCCCGTTGCAAGGAACACGTGCTGGGTATGTCTCAGTTTTGAGGTTTGGGGGGTTTTGAGAGGGTTTAGTAACTATGAGCCTTGTACCCCTTATTTCGATAAGAGCAAGAGAAAGAATGCCCGTTCAGGTGCATAACGAATCTAGTACTAATCGGATATCGGGGGATGAACGAAATTGATGGCTGTCTTTAGTTCGTGCTCGCTCTTATTGATGCCTTTCTTGCTTCCACCTCTGATGGGATCTTAGGATGTCAAGGTGTGCAGCAAGTGATGTAATGACTCCTGCATTAGAAAAGAATGATGCGTGTGGAGGCTGTGAACTGCGGGAATGGGCAAAGTGGACAACAAACGGTCATGAGTCATATGCACCGAACCATAGCTTGTCCGATTGTTACTGTACTCGTACTACAAGTAGGGAAGGGAGGTGCCCTAGGGCCGTGCTGACCTACCTTAGTGGCATTTATCGCAGGGACGACATTAGTTTACAGTAGCAACAGCTAAGAAGAACTGAATAAGTTACGAAACAGCACCAGAAAAGGCTTTGTCAAAAGCACACTGGCTGTACTGATCAAAAGAAAAGGCATGACTGCAAGCAAAGTCAACTCAGTAACGGGCGCCCTTTCACAGGACCAGTTTGGCTGGTCTGAATCCTAAGTAGCACGCACCACATTTTGGATGAACCCTCGCCTAAATTTTGACCGTAAGCCATATATCCTGAACTCAGGTGTCCAGTCTATCTGCTCCTACCTGTATTTTTGAATCAGGGTTAAAGACAGAAGCTGATACTATGCACATGGAGCGGTATGCCAAGATGTTCCTCTTAAGAGGTGGCCGCATTTTTTGAGAGAGGTGACAGCATTAACTTGAAAGGCAAACATGAATTCGCAATTACGAAGCCTTCGTTACGCTTTGCTGTGTGTTGAAGTGATTGCTTGACCTGTTGAACACTGTAGGAAGGCTCAGGCATGTGGCTTCAACGCGGCTAGCTGACTGAATTGGCTTCTGTGCTGTGAGTGGCGCACTTTTCACCGTGAATCCTCGCAAGCAACATTGGGGTGGAGTGGCAACTGACTGGGTGACAAGCCTACAAGAGTCAAGGGCCTGTTCCGGCCGCTTGTGGGCACCCATCTCCATCAGCCTTGTGCTTGCGTGAGTTCCGCAAGCTTCTACAATCTAGCTATGCCTCTCATGAACGGAGGCTGTCAGGCTCACTGCCTATCTGATCTGATTGCCCAAGCTTGCCAGCCTGCTTTACGAAGCTGGCCCCCGGGCTCGACTTGGAAAATATCGGGGCTACACTACGGCCCCGCAAGCGGAACAGAACAACCCCATTGAACGCTGTGATCTGGCCACTCTATATGCTCGATAACTGAGGATCGTTCCGCCGACCTTGCATCAAAACGATTATGCCTCAAGCCAGCCAAGGAAGACCCATGCGGTTTTGACAGGCCATGCTTGGCAGGTTCGAGCCAGGTACAGGCCAAAAGCTGGTACTGTAGATCTGACTCGCCAAAATACTCAGTTCCTTGCATCCTAGGTTCCCTTCCCTACCTCTCAAGAACAGCTGTTAAATCTAAAGCCATAGCGGCATCGAACCGCCACTAGTGGTAGGATAAGCGTTGGACATGTCAAGCCCCAGATCTTCAAGGCTTCTTCTTCAAGCCAGTCCGCTTCATGAAGTCCAGGTAGTATGGATACGGGCTTCCTGAGCTGCAGGCTTTGGAGGGCTCAGGAGTCAGGGCCGTCGAAAATTGGCATGGGCTAAACAGCAGACCCTTCACACATGAGTGTGCCTGAAAGGGGCAGAGCTCAAGCTCTGCAGAACAAGCGTTATGTCAGTGTTGCGTGGCGCGAATCACCATGCCGCTTGAGGAAAGATTCTCATGCTTCTTGGCCTGTGGGGCTCCGAACGGACAGGCTGAAAGCCCTGTAGTTGCTCGTGATTGCCAATTGCGTGCAAGCATCGCTTGTGAAGCAGCGCCATGAATAACTCGATTTGAACGTAGTAACATCGCAACAGGAAGACGTCGTCAATTTGCTTGTCGAAGCGATCCTTGCAGCTGTGAGGATAGCGGCAAAGGTGACATGACAAACCGTTTCTCTTGCCGTGTTGGGATCGCTTCTTCTGGAATGCGTTGATTGCATGGAGTGGGGGAGCCTTGAAAAGCGGCCCATGTCTGGTACGGAGGTTTTGCGCCACCACCAGAGCAGTAAGAAAGGGCTGAGCTGGGGAACTTCTTGCCTCTGAGAATGGTTGTCACTATCCTCCCCTCCAGCCCTGGCAGTCCGGCAGTCCTTGATGCCTTTCCACTGCTCTCTGCTTGCCAACCTCAGAAAAAGAGCGCCATGACATGCCGCTGCATTTGCGACAAGATTTCGAACGACATCCCATGAATCACATGAAGGTCAATTCCTTGCAAAACGTGAGCACTACGCTGCCATGCACCCACCAAGAGCAAGTTTTCCCATGAGGTACCCCACTGGAATGAGTGGGAAAACTACTACATAGAGGGGGCTCTGGACGAGAGATGACCTCGCGCAAAGGCACCTTTGTACCCTCACATGCCACTCACTCAACCTGTTCACACGAGACTTTCGAATCCTGCGCAGCATTTGACAGCCCACCTTGTGCACCACTGGACGTTTGCGCAAACTCCGGGGAGAGAATAAGCCTACCGGCAGGGAGCAGATTCAGCTTCAGGCTCGGGAGCTCCCATTTTCGGACTCGAACAAGAAAAGTTCCTCAAATCCTCCATGTAAAAAACGAGTAGGAGGAGCCAGACCCAAAAGTTAGGTAGAAGCTTCTATGTGTGACTATAATCAGCCTCAAATAGAATTACCACCATCCCGAACACTCAAATGTAGAACCCCTATATAACCCCTACATGAACCCTATAGAGACCCTATATAACCTGCATGTAACCCCTATAACCTCAAACCCTGAGCCCTGTAAGTCATCCTTTGAGCCAGGACTTCCGCCCTAGCTATCCCTCTGACCACAGACGGAATAATTTGAGTTTGTACCCAAGTCTAGACTGCCCAGATGTGCCTCAAGGCCCCAAATGCCCATATCAGCACATGCATCATAACTTTGGCCTTCCCATTAATTTCTGGTTTTAGTGCTGAGCATGCCCATGTACATAGGAACTAGTGGCTAGGTAGGCAACAACCAACACCTTGAGCTGCACCCAAACAAGCAGCCTGCGACAGCTTGAAGTCCATGTACAGCCTTTCCGGGTCCAGGCTCACCCCCGTCACCTCCTTGTACTCGTTGGCGAAGCATGTAACCCTTGGCTGTCGATGCCGTACTCAACAAGATTCGGCATCGCTCTGACACGAAAGCCTTGACCAACAAGCCCTTGCCCCAAACACCATCGTCCTGAAGAGTTTCAGGCCCAAACAGGTACAGCTCCTGACACCTGTGCTGAGGACAGTGCAATTCTCGGCAGCTGCTACGCCTCTTGATTTCTTCCTCCCTTCTCCACCCCGGAATCATGATGAGGTGGGGACAGCTGGCTGCCATCTTAAATGATTCCGGTGATTCCGGTGCTTGCCTTCTAGTCCCCTTTAAGTAGATGGAATATGGTTTTGGGTACATTGTAATAAGATCCCCATATACCCCATATTCTATGTGCTTAAGGGGGGACTATAACCCTAGACCCTAAACCCTTCAACCGTAAACCCTAAATAGAAGTTTCCATTTTCTTTTCCATTATCCCAATATAACCCTAACATTCTATCTACTTAACGGGGACTATAGGTCCAAGGGTCAGCTTCTGCTCGTGCTCATCCATGAATTCAGGCTCCGCGCCAAGCCAGCTCCCAGCAAGGATGGTAGGAATCGGCATCCCTACCTTGGCATAGGGTATATAGGGGTTATATAAGGGTATATGGGGGTTATATAGGGTTATAAGGGTATATAGGGGTTATATTGGGTTATATTGGAAAAGAAAATGGAAGCTACTATAGTATACTTTTGGCATAGGCTTAAAATACTATAATAGGAGTTATATAGGGATAATGGAAAAGAAAATGGAAACTACTACAATAATCTATAATAATAGGGGTTATCCAGGGGTTGATTACTTTTGGCTTCTGGCTATGTGTTTCAAGTACTTCCGCTGCCAAATCTGATAGGTTTCTGCGGCTGCGCATGGCAACTTTCAAGTCTGACTTGACGTTTGAGAAGGCAAAAGCCATTGCCTACCAAGACACATGCTCTTTTGCCAGGACTGCCGCGCATCAGAATCAACTCGAAATGTACCAAAAGCTCAGGCGAAGTGCTGAACCTTCTGTGCAAGGACTCATTTCCAGTACGAGTACTGACAACAATCCGCGCATCGCAAAACCGGAGACCAGCATCCGACCCCAAGACTGCCGAGCAAGCCAGTGAACTTCACACTTCAAGTGCTACTTCAAAGACTGCGGACTTCAAGCTCTGTATCGCGGAATCTGCCCCTAGAAGGCCAGAACCTATTCGTACCTCCAAACCCAAAAACCCATACCAAAGTCGGAGGTACCATGGCTCCTCCCCAGTCCTTAGAGGAGCATTTTTCTGCCAAGAAATAGGGAAGTGAAGGAGTTGGTTCAGCTGGATCAGAGTGGCTCCATTTTCCGGGTTGAAACTTCAAATGCCGTGATACTAAATCAGCTGGGTTGGAATCCTACTTGCGCTCTCCTGGGTGGCTTCAAGGCTCAAAGGGTGTGATTTGTGTTTTGAGATGAAGTCCATGTAAACCGAGTGCGACTGCATGACAAAAGAGTTTTCCCGTCTGAAATAGGAGCGCATGAAATGGCTAGGCCCCAAAGCAAGAAGGTGGCTCTGTAGCATTTCCAGGCTTCCGTGCCAAGAGTCGATGAGGCCACACTCCATGATGCCGTTCCCATCTCTCCAGAAGATCGCGTTGTCAATTTGCGCATTCGGATGGGCCAGGGTGTGGTACTCCGGGATGAGCTGCCTTAATGCCAGCATTCACAAGCAAACATTGCCCTCACAAACTTCTTTAAGTCTCAGGAGGAACCACACGCCCTCTTCAAGGAATGCAGCTGGTAAAGCTACATGAGTTCCACCATTCCACCTTGTAGTGGCGCGGTATAAGTGATGACCTGACTGAAGTAGAACAGCCTTCAGATACGAGAGCAGAACAACCCTCAGTTGCCGGGATGCATGTAGAAGGCGATTTCTTGCGAATTCTTCGCTATTTCCTTCACCTGCGACGGCGACGTTGATTGACATTTTGCCCTGACCGCTCGGGCTCGTACCAATTACAGTGGCAAGGAGAAGCTGCGGCAGTTTCACCATGCCGAGCAGAAGGCAACAGCAATCAATATGGCGATGCTCATGGGTGCCCAATCATGCTATGTGAGTGCCCCCCCCCTGACAAGGCGCCTCCTGCCCAAACTGCAAACTCCATGACCTGCCTCTCGGAAGGCCTTCTCCAAAAACGCGTCCTCTACCAGCTTTTTCGGAAAGCAGTGTTTGGCAACATTCCTGCGAGGGGTATGTGGGCGCAATTGCAGGGTGGATTTTAGAAGGGACCCTTGCACGGACCCCCACAACCTGACAACCCTCATTCAGCAAAAACTTACACATGGACCTAGGACAAATTCGCCTAAACTAGGATGTATGAAAACCTGTTATGAGTAGGAAGCTTTATCCTCGTCATTGCGCTGTATAAGAATCAAAGCTGCTCATGCTATCATATCCAGAAGGTATCTTCAACTATCAAGCTACCAGCCATAATGAGAACAGCAATCACGACATTAAAAGCCCAAGACAGAGTTCAGTAGCAAGGTTGCACTCACCCACACTGCTTGCACAGCTGCTGTACTTTTCAGCAATAACATCAGCACCACCAGTGAAGTGCCAGACCGTGGCAGACACAAACTGAGGACCTGGCTTAATGAAAGATTCAGCCATTGCCAGGAAACCCTCCGCAGCAGCTGAAGGCAGTCCCATGCCTCACAAAAAACATCCCACCCGCGCACATAGATGCAAACCCCAAACCCCGTACGCTCAGCCTGGAAACCTTGAACAGCTTGGGTTCAGGTTAGGTCCCACAATTTTCCAGAACGTTAGGAAGAATTGCGGCGGTGCCCTTCGTCCGTGGCCAACGTACACGACTTTCCTCGATGTGACGAAACCCCAAAAAACTGAAGCATGAAAGGCCAGGTGCTGGCCACCACGGGCATCATCTTTGGGTCGGTGAGGCCTGAGAGACACGAATCATAATGATAACAATTATTCTTAAATATGTGAATAATAACAATAATAATAACAGTAATAATATTGCCATTAGTACGGTAAGGATAATAATTATAAGAATAATCATGATACTGGCAGAATTGTTCACAAGTTTCTGGTAGAAGTTGGCTCTCATGGCAGCGCTGGCTTGAAAGAAATTCTTTCCTGCCTTGGCATGTTTTCTCAGGCCGTGTCAGGTTAAAAGCTCAGGCCGGTCAGGTTAAAAGCCTTTGGCAGTGGAGCGTACTAGGAGATTGCATGTGGCTTTCCAAAATGTGCATGAGTCTGTACTGGTGGCAAGGCGCATTTCAAGTAGAAAACGTCTCGCTGCTTGTCATTCAGTGGCCGGACTTGGCCAAAAAGGTCCTCGGCTGGGATCTCGGAACAACATGCTCGCCGTGCATCCGTTGCAGTGGGTGAGGTTTTGATCCCCAGGCGTTTCTCCTGTCAATCGGGATACAGGTGTAGCAAACCAAGAGTTTGGAAGGGTATAGGTTGACGTCATCGTTTTTGATGAGCGTGGTATCGTTTTCTAATCAACAACCCTCCGGCATTCCAGCACGATAGAAAACCCAGCGCCATCTATACAGTATCACGCACATAGGCAGAAGCCGGGCGGCATGCATGAGCTTGTTCGTATCAGGACTTGCGAAACACTCTTCCACCTGGCTGGTGATCTTCTTCGTGTGGTAGAACCTCGGTAGCTTAGTTGATATGACGCTGAGATGCCATGGTAGCAAATCCACAGAAGACCGCTCGACAGCAGTGCTCGCAAGCATGCTTGAGGCATGGAGCAGCCCCAGTCATGT